GCAAAAGGAGCGCACTGGTTGGAACTACACAAATGAGCGAGCAAGCACTGTATTATAGCACTTTGTGTTGGCAAAAGGAGCGCACTGGTTGGAACTACACAAATGAGTGAGCAAGCACTGTATTATAGCACTTTGTGTTGGCAAAAGGAGCGCACTGGTTGGAACTACACAAATGAGCGAGCAAGCACTGTATTATAGCACTTTGTGTTGGCAAAAGGAGCGCACTGGTTGGAACTACACAAATGACAAACGCACACACAGCCACCGAAGACTCTTTTATTTTTTTAAAATATTTTTTGTATTTTTTTAAGAATAAAAGACAGGTATTTTTAGAAAATATTCAGAAATGGAAAATTAACCAAAAACTGGCCCTGATGTGGACCAAACACAGCCACGAGACAGGGCAAAAGAGAGCACACACCAACAGAAGAGTCTTTTCTTTTTTTAGAATATTTTTTGTATTTTTTTAAGAATAAAAGACAGGTATTTTTAAAAATATTCAAAAATGGAAAATTAACCAAAAACTGGCCCTGATGTGGACCAAACACAGCCACGAGACAGGGCAAACGAGAGCACACACCAACAGAAGAGTCTTTTCTTTTTTTAGAATATTTTTTGTTTTTTTTTAGAATAAAAGACAGGTATTTTAAAAAAATATTCAAAAATGGAAAATTAACCAAAAACTGGCCCTGATGTGGACCAAACACAGCCACGAGACAGGGCAAACGAAGAGCACACACCAACAGAAGAGTCTTTTCTTTTTTAGAATATTTTTTGTATTTTTTTAAGAATAAAAGACAGGTATTTTTAAAAAATATTCAAAAATGGAAAATTAACCAAAAACTGGCCCTGATGTGGACCAAACACAGCCACGAGACAGGGCAAACGAGAGCACACACCAACAGAAGAGTCTTTTCTTTTTTTAGAATATTTTTTTATTTTTTTTAAGAATAAAAGACAGGTATTTTTAAAAAATATTTAAAAATTGAAAATTAACAAATTAACAAAAACCGAAGGAAGGAATGAATCCAAGCAAGGAATGAATCCAAGCAAGGAATGAATAATAAGCAAGGAATAAATCCAATCCAAGCTTAGCCAGCAACCAACCAAGCCAACCCAATGCAAGCCGCCCTCCCGGACCTCTTCTCTTCTCCCTCGCCTCCGCAACAAATGAGCTGTGCGGCCACGCGGAGCCGCTTTTAAAGGGCTTGCCGGCCAATCAGAAACAGCCACGGTGCACTGCTTGGGTGCTTGGGAGCGCCGGATTGGCTCCCAGGGCACCAGCATCCTCCATCCCATTTACGAAACGGGCGGAAGCTCGTTAAAAGTATGGGGGATGCCGTTTCGTTATTTTAAAACCCTTCCGGGTTTGAAAATGTGTTTTGTAATCGTTTTGTAATTGCGAAAAATAACGAATATTTAACGAATTACAAAATTAACGAACGAAACCGCCCAGGCCTAATGTATAGCCTTAAGCTATGACAAGGGATGTCAATGGTGCCCTCTTCTGGATTCTTTTTAAACCTTTGCACCTGTGTCATACTTTCTGACTTCGCAAATGTCAGCTCCACTCACTTGTCTTTGTATAGCGCTTACGACATCCTTCGTAATTCTGGTACTTTTTACTTTTTGCTGTTATTTTTAGTTTGTGCCCTGCTACTGGGTGCTTTTCAATAGCTGAGAATACATAAAGGATTCCTTATCAGCCTGCTCAAGAAGTAATATGGCTTTAGGAAATGTCTCTGTGAATTATGGTATATAGGAAGCTCCACTGATGGGTTCGGGACCAGAGTGGTGTCAGAAAATGGAATTGGTTGAAAAGCAGAAACCGGACCATTTTAGACTGAAAATGTATTTTGGGCACACGAAAATACATAGCACACTATGCATCATTTTTGAAAGTGTGCTAAAGCTAAACGATCATTTGCACGCATTCAAAGAATGATTCAAGGAGGAGTCTGCACTTTTCATAAGCAAGCCTTAGGACTACACGCTTGTGCACAAGCAATCAAGCGGGCCTCTTAGGCAAGAAGAACTGACGAAAGAGCAGACTCCCACACCAAATTAATGGAAATTGTCTGTAAATTTGCAAGCGTTGAAAGAGCAGGACGTCAGTGAAGCATCAAAAGGTGGAGGAAGACAAGGATTAGAAAAGTTTATTATATATTATTATATTTATTTAAGTTAATCCTTCATTCTATCATCAGCCTTCTGCGATAGGCATCACTTAACACTGTTTAGATGTTTATTTTAAAAGTCTTAGGGTGCATCTACACTGCAGAATTGATGCAGTTTGACACCACTTTGACTGCCATGGCTCAATGCTATGGAACCATGGGAGTTACAGTTTTATACAACTCTGCTTTTGAGCTGTGGTGTTGGAAGAAAGTTCTGAGAGTGCCTTGGACCACAAGAAGATCTAACTAGTCCATACTTCAGGAAATAAAGCCCGGCTGCTCATTGGAGTCATGAGAAGAAAGGAAAGCCACATCATGAGAAGAAAGGAAAGCTTAGAGAAGAGTATGATGCTGGGGAAAATGGAAGGAAAAAGGAAGAGGGGCTGTCCAAGGGCAAGATGGATGGATGGTATCCTTGAAGTGACTGGATTGACCTTGAAGGAGCTGGGGGTGGTGATGAGCTCTGGCGTGGACTGGTCCATGAAGTCACGAAGAGTCGGAAACGATTGAATGAATGAACAACAACAAAGCTCATTGGAGGGAAGGATAGTAGAGGCCAAGATGAAGTACTTTGGCCACATAATGAGAAGAAAGGAAAGCTTAGAGAAGACAATGATGCTGGGGAAAATGGAAGGAAAAAGGAAGAGGGGCCGACCAAGGGCAAGATGGATGGATGGGATCCTTGAAGTGACTGGCTTGACCTTGAAGGAGCTGGGGGTGGTGATGACCGACAGGGAGCTTTGGCGTGGGATGGTCCATGAAGTCACGAAGAGTCGGAAGTGACTGAATGAATGAACAACAACAAGCCTTCTCTGACCAAGAGGGCCAGTGCCTCACCAAACAACACATTGCACTGTAGGGGCAAAGAAACCAAAATATTTCCCAAAAAGCAGGAGCCTCCTTTCCAATGGGAAGGGCAAGGAAGGACACCACAAAAACAAGCATACAGGAATGCAATCAAAGGGTTTGTCACAACCCCCAATGGGGCTGCAGAGCTTTTATCACTTTGGTAGTAAATGGAATATACATTTTCATTGGTCTAAGCTAGCTATGCAGTTGTTCATTAGTTGTTTATGATTTTGATTGACATTATAGCACACGTGGGATCCTAACAATGGCACAACTATAGTCTATTGTTCTCTGACCATGACTGTATCTTATCTGTTAGTCTGTTGCAAACATGGCTCCAGAGCGACTGGGAAACTTGGGGAGTACTAACTAGCCACCAGCTAGCCGGTTTTGTCCGGATGTACTGTTATCCTTGAATAGTAACTTCTTCTCTGGAGCACTGATTTCTCAAACAATCAGCATTTTCTGTAAACAAAGGCCTACTGCAGAAATAGGCCAATATGGCAGTAAATCAGGATATATGGGCATTGGGAACATCTCTGAAAATGCCATTTTTTAAAAAAACCACGTCTCCTCTAGCACGATTCCATAGCACTGGGGCAAAGTGGTGTCAAGCTGCCTTAATTCTCCAATGTAGATGCACCCCCAGTGTTAAGAGACCCTAAATTGGGTCTTCTTAGGTCCACATCATGGGAACATGTAAGGAAGGAGACAGTCCCAAAAAAGATCAAAAAACAAGGTTTATTTTAGTTTCTTCATGAAGAAGACGGACAGCCTGGCAGCATACGCAGATGCTACCCTTCAAGTGACTGCCGCACCCCTCCTCTTTTTCTGCTGACTTTTATACTCAAGTAATAGGTCATGGAAAGTACTCTCTTTCCAGCCCCCCTCCCTTGACCTTTTGATGGAAAGTACCTTCTTGTACCTGCAGACTCTGCGCTTAACCACAACCTTTGGCTTAACCACAACACAACTACTTCCTATGTAGGCTTGAACTTTGTATGACCTCTACATGTCACATCTTGTTTCTTAAAAACATTTTCTTCCGTGTTGCTCTTTTTCTACAGAGAAAGGGTATATTTCTCTTTTGCTGTTAATTTCATTCAAAGCCCCTTGCTTAGCATTTGCAAATTTCACTCAAAGACCCTTTCACCAGGGCCACATACACGTTTCTCAGGCCAAAAGAGGTCAGAAGTGGAAACGTTCAAAAAGTCCTGCTCTAGTTGATCCTAAATCTGTAAATGTAAAACCAGTGGGTTGTAGTGAGCTTTCCGGGCTGTATGGCCATGTTCCAGAAGCACTCTCTCCTGACGTTTCGCCTGCATCTATGGCAGGCATCCTGTAAAACTCACAGGGAGTCACAGTTGGGTGCAATGACCCTATATGACCACTAGGGGTCGTAGCTGAGTCTGCCTGTACTCAATAATACAGGGTGTTACTTTGAAGCCAATCTATTAAACCCCCACTTTCTGCTAATGGCTATCTTTCTGCATTCCTTGTTATGTCTTCTTCCATCTTTGGTGGGATCTACACTGCCAGATAAAGCATTTTCCCCATATCCCAAACATCAAAGGGAAACACAGCCCTCGATCGCTCTCTGTAAAGCAGTTTCTCAATTACATCTTTGGACTTCAACTCCCAGAATCCCTTCTCGTTATCCAAAGTAGCTGAGGCTTCTGGGAATTGAAGTCCAAAAAAAACTGCAGGGTTGGACTAGAACTGTAGAGCGCCAATCCGCGAAGAGGTAGGAAAAAAGCAATCGGCGTCACGAAAAAAGAGAAAACCGACGCTATTGGCTGACGGCAGTTGAAAACCGACCAATCACCTTCCACAGACTCTGACCAATCGGATTCTTTATATTTCCTTCACTGCCTTCCATTGGTCCGCTAAGAGTTGGGCCTATTTGTTGCCATTGGACAAAAAGGGGAGATGGGCTCTCACTGATTGGCCAGAAAAGTTAGCGGAAGTACTGCTGGTTTTGTTTAACCTAGTGTTGGTATGGCGCATGCGCGAGAAAGAGGGGCACAGGTATGCACACATGCACAGCCGTCGCTTATTTTGAACTGTCTGTTTGTGTAGCTCAGGTTTGTCTATCAGAGAAAGGCTAGCTTTGCTTCCCTTCATGTCCACCTAGCAATGCTTTCACACACAAAAAATATTCTAAAGGGTTCTATGACCAAAAAAGGATTAGACTGTCTATTTAACCCAATGTACTGCCATCTGGCAATACATCCTCGGGGTTTTAGTGAAAAAATGTCTTGTATTCTATTCATATCACACCACATCTACCTCTGAAAGAGTTTTAAGCAGAGTCTGGATGGCCATCTGTGGGGAGTGATTTGATTGTCTATTCCTGCTTGAAAGGGGATTGGACTGGATGGCCTCTTCCAACTCTGTGGTTCTAAATATCAGTGTCTACCTGATCCTTTCTGAAGGTATCAGTGATTACCCTGAAACCCTAATTAAGCCATTAAAATTAATTAATGGCTTCAAACTACAAGAAAGGAGATTCCACCTGAACACGAGGAAGAACTTCCTGACTGTGAGAGCCGTTCAGCAGTGGAACTCTCTGCCCCGGAGTGTGGTGGAGGCTCCCTCTTTGGAAGCTTTTAAACAGAGGCTGGATGGCCATCTGTCAGGGGTGCTTTGAATGCAATATTCCTGCTTCTTGGCAGGGGGTTGGACTGGATGGCCCATGAGGTCTCTTCCAAATCTTTGATTCTATGATTCTATTATTAAGTCTGTTTACTGTCCAGTCTTTAATGATTAGTCCCTCACAAATGGCCCATATTTGCCATGGAGTGCTTCATCTGGCAGTTCACAGACCTGAGTTGTGATGCTCATGCTTCCAAGGGAAGATTTGTTTATGCTTTGAGATCTAAAATTCTTTTGATCAGGTGGCTTGAGATTTTGGGTGCTTCTACACTGTAGCATTAATGCCATTTGGCTACGGTGATCCAGGTGATGGTCATCTCGAGGCTTACTACTGTAACACCCTCTACATTGGCCTTCCTTTGTCAGTGATCCGGAAACTGAAGCTGGTGCAAAATGCAGCAGCTCGTCTTCTTGCTGGGGTGCCGGCGAGGTGTCGTATCACCCCAATTCTACAACAGCTGCACTGGCTACCGATTGAGTACCGGATTACTTTCAAGGTACTGGTACTAACCTTTAAGGCCTTATATGGTCTGGGGCCGGCGTACCTGAGGGCCCGCTTATCCCCCTACCAACCCCAGAGATTACTTCGGTCCGAAGACCAAAATTTGCTTGAAGTCCCCAACATCCGGACTTATCATCTGTCCTCTACTAGGCAGAGAGCCTTCTCGATTGTGGCCCCTTATTTATGGAATGCCTTGCCAGTTGAAACCCGAACCATCCGAGAGCTATTTGCTTTTCGGAAAGCCTGTAAAACCTTTCTTTTCCGACAAGCTTTCGATGGGTGAATAACTGGACTATGTCTGTTCTTGTTTTTATTGTATTTTAAAGTTAATTGTATTGTTTTAATCTACTGCTGTAAACTGCTCCGAGACAAATTGGGAGTAGCGGTAAACAAGTCAAATAAATAAATAAATAAATAAATAGAATTTGACACCACTTTAACTGCCATGTCCAATACTATGGATTAATGGGAGCTTTAGTTCAGATGGCCCCCTGGTGGCACAGTGGGTTAAACCACTGAGCTGCTAAACTCGCTGACCCAAAGGGTGGTTTTAATCTGGGGAGCAGAGTGAGCTCCCAGTGTTAGGCCCAGCTTCTGCCAACATAGCAGGTAAAAAACATGCAAATGTGAGTAGATCAATAGGTACTGCCTTGGCAGGAAGCGCTCCATGCAGTCATGCTGGCCACATGACCTTGGAGGTGTCTACGGACAATGCTGGCTCTTCGGCTTATAAATGGAGATGAGCACCACCCCCAGAGTCGGACATGACTAGATTTAATATCAGGGGAAACCTTTACCTTTTTTTTTTTTTTACCTTAGTTCAGATGCCTCTTGATACTTCAAGTATAGTGATTCCTTGGCATCTATGGGTTTGGCATCACCTTACACCATTTTAATAATGGTTTTCTGTATAACCTTCTCTTTGCATTCAAATTCTCCTTTGGGTGTTATTAGATAACATAGCTGCCCACTGTACATACATTTTTGTAAACATTTTAATATAGTTGCCATTTGTGATCTTGAATTTTGGTTTTTAGGATATGAGGACATGTTTTTTTTCTATTTCAGAATTTGGCTGAGATGGTTGAAATGGGTGATGGAGGTGAAGGCATCAAGTCTAGTTCCTATGAAAGGATAGTTCTCAAGAACACTTCTGAATATCATTATCTGAAGATCCGTCTGTAAGTTCAGGTTCCAAATTTTCATATCCTACCTGCTCCATCTCTTTTTATGTATCATGTTGTGTTTTCGATATGTGAGAATATCTAATCAAATAATACTAATAATAAAAATATATTTTAGGGAGTTAGAAGACCCTAACATTAGCCTGAATGCTGTTGAGTTCAAGCAACTCATAATCTCCGCTCTGAAACATTTACATGGTGAGGTACGTTGTGATTATTTGTGTGGCTGAATACTTGCTGTTCTGAGATCAATTGCTGTGGATTCTTTTTTTAGTACTGATTTGACTGCCTGGAGGGTGGGAACTATGTGAGGAAGGCTGGACAGCTACTTGATTTCCACTTTTGTCATATTGGTTCAAAGAGTTTATCAGATAATTGAATAATTAGAAGAGACTGATTTCATTGGGTTCCAACAAAGGGAAAGAGTTGTTTTTGTAAAATTACAATTCCATTATGTTAGCTCTCTATTGCAATTAAAAACCTGTGTCCTTTAAAACCCAAGATATAGAGAGAAGATGCAGCTGTTACCATCAAATACTGTTTTTCTTCAGCCAAGCTATTCCAACTGCTTCTCTCACTGTTCAAAGGACTGATAAATTACAGCAGAGATGTGAAAAGGGAGGGGAAGGAGTAGTGAGGAATACAGAATCATAGAGTTAGAAGAGGCCCTGTAAGCCATCCAGTCCAACCCCCTGCCATGCAGGAAAAGCACAATCAAAGTATCCCTGACAAATGACCATCCAACCTCTGTTTAAAAGCCTCCAAGGAAGGAGCTTTCACTGGACTCCAAGGCAGAGAGTTCCACTGTTAAGCAGCTCTTATGGTCAAGAAGTTCTTTCTAATGTCCAGGATGACATTTACTTTATACAGTATTAACCTTGTATCTTTGGGACCAGTATCTCAGCTTCATTGATGCTATTTTGAAAAAAGCATGTCCTCTCTAAGCATTTTCTAGGTTCTTCTATGTGAATCTATGATATTTTTTGGGCCAGAAGTCTTTCATTTCAATAGGATTCACTATTACAGTTTCACCTATTCATACGAAATCCAGGAACACATTCTCTGGAGATTTGTAAACATAGGCTAGATGGCCATCTATTAGGAGTGTTTTGATTGTGTTTTCTTG